TACTGAAGAAATTGCCTTCTCAGATTCTCAACTGCGGGCAGTTTTTTTGTCGCCTGTGGCGGGTCTAGGTTTGGTAGTAGTAGTAGTAGTAGTAGTAGTAGTCGTAGTGGTAGTGGTAGTGGTAGGGGTAGGGGTAGGGGTGGGGGTGGTGGTCGTAGTAGTGGTAGTAGTAGTAGCAGTAGTAGTAGTAGTAATAGGAGAGTATCACATGAGTAGTACCAATCATCACATGTCATCGACATAAACGAGTCTATACAACTAGCCCCTCTTCACCCTCCAGAAGTTCTTCTCAATGAGGGCCATGCTCAACTCACCAACGGACTGATTTCATGGGATAGCCCGACTCACCAAACCAGGACAGTTGGAATATGGCTAATTCCGAACGACCTAATTACAGAGTGAAAGACCCAAACAATCAGCCACCGGCACATCGCTACATCTGGTCGGAAGACTGTTGCTGGGATGGATCAGCCAGATGGAGCCACATGGTTTTGGTTTGGTGTTCAAAGCATTTCAAAACGATATGGGTGATTGAAACCATTCCCGCATATTCCTTCCCAAGTAGCGAGGGAAACTAGACACATTCCACCGAGCATGAATGGTTGATGGATTGATGACAGCGACTTATGACTTTGAGAATTTGTCACACCTTTTGGAAAAAGCTCTAGCTGCAAATGCAAAAGTGATACGGTAGATCATCAAGAGAGGTTTAACAGTGAAGGAGTTGCCAGTTGTTTGGAAGAAACATGAAGAAACCTCTTGATGCAGCACTGTTTCAATGCATCTTTCCAGAATCGGGGCCAAGGGTACAACGTCCACATAGTCTCAAGACAGCGATCAGCCTCGATTTCAAGAGTCCTTAGTCTTCCCTTTTCAACCACACCAAGACCTGGTCGTGCAGTCTTGCGTCCGTCATTGGCCCAGGCGGCCAGGGGTTTGTTACAGTCCTTCTCAATGGTTTGTTACAGTCCAGCCGGACTTTCATGGATGAGGCTTTTTGCCTCTACGATGCATGCACCAAGGAGGGATCTCTGCAAGGGAAAGGAAAAAAGGTCCTTCTCAATGTCGTCGGAAAGGGTGTCAATCATCAGGAGGACGCCGTTGCTCTCCTGAGTTCAACGTGTTCGGAACGGAGCGGAAACCGAGGTGCTTGGTATCGACGGACGCCTCAGCTGGTTGGGACTCACAGCTTGTCGTCCTATTTGACCCACCAGTTCAATGTTAAAGATACCCAAACCATCCATGTATGGAATAGTTATATATATATATACATGGATGGTCTGGGATACTTGAAGCATGTTGAAGCTCCTCCTGTCTTGAGCTCCTTCCGAGACGTGGTGGCTTTCGACTCTCGACGTCGCTCCTGGGTCTTCTTCTGGTAGCCTCCCTCGAAGGTCGGTGGCTTTTCTCCCTGAGCGAGGAACACATCGAAACAAGGGCCCCGGTTCACGGGGACACTCGAGGGTAGTATCCCACCCACCTCTGGAATCGGATTGGGGATTGAACAGTTGAAGGATAAAAGGTACTCCCAGAACGTGCTGGCTTTGGGAACCAAAGCTGGTCCAACTTGGAAGGGCTTGCACTAAACTGGATAGAGAAATACATGTTCAATCATGTTCATAATCGCTTCTCCAGGAGCGATGAAGATCTGCTCATGAAAGTCTCACTGAGTGGTTCTTGATGTGCAAATCTGCGATGCATCCGAAACATATTAGGATCATCCCGGTATGAATTAGGGGTGCAAGTCGCGCCGCCCCCCCATCTTTTCAGGTGTACCCCAGGCATGATGGTCTCTTTAAGAAGGTGGAGCTTACCAGGCTCAATTATTTTATAGAGGAAATAGCCAGGATGCTCCTGGAGGTCGATCCGGACACCCTCACCAGCACACGGGTGAAAGCACCAAGGAAATCCATCATGACAGACAACCTCTAGATGTGGGCCTTTTCGGCAGCAAGTGTCTCATCTGTCCCGTTCCCAACAGTGCCTTGATCTGGAGGAAGGACAAGTCCTCAGAGTGATCGGGCGATGCTCTCGAGGCCACGCGGAGGTTGGAAACCGCAGGGAATTTCTCGAGATCAGTGGCTTGGATTTGCTCCAAGGAGTGTGCAACAAACATATTCCCAAGAAAAGGATTCACCCATAAAGGAAAAAGTAAAAAAAACAAAAACTAAGCAAAACCCTGCAGGGTTGACATCGGGTTGATAAAACTAAGGATGATTTCATATTATAGGGCCGTTGATAGAAGCCTCAACTGATATCAACTGCATGCCTTTAAGGACAAGGGATTCTGCAGCTACAGGGATGCCGCAGGTCTCTCCGTTCTCTTGTTGGAATCATTCCATTCAGAGGGTCTACCCGAACCACCTGCAGCACCTCCATGGTTCTTTTCAAACAGGGGTCGATGTCATTGTCAAACAGCTCCTCTCCAGACCTCAAACTGCACTCGCAAGGCAATGATGCTACCTGTGTTCATGGCGTGGAGCCATGGCGTCCTGTATCATGCCACAAAGTACCACCTGGAGGATGACATGGACCAGTGCCACCCAGGCGCATACGGGCTCTTGGTGGTGGTCGGCGCCACCATGCTGGGGTTGTAGACCTGCATCGTCAGGTGTCGTGACCGTCCACAGGGGTGATCGATTACTCGGTGCAAAACATGACCTCGGAGGAGGGGGGTCGAAATAAACGGAGGGAGCGAGTCTACTCCCAACCCTTGGGGTGGTTCCAGTGGATTGTACGGGTTGTTGGTTACGATTGCCACCAAAAATAAGGACATGCCATCCAAATGGGTGGGGCCAAAAAACCACACTATGCTCTGAGTCTCTTGGGGTCAAAAATGTCTGAAGTGATTTGAGGTGCATCCATCCTGTAAAACTAGGAAACCCGGACTCTGTATCCCTCAGCCCTTGTGAAGCATTGCGTAACAGCCTCATACAATCCAAAGCTTCTTGATGATTAAAACAAGTTTCTTCAAGCATCAAGTCGAAAAAACACAAGTGCAAAGCACAGCAGGCCTTTTTTGCACGTTGGTTGGTTATGTTTCTTGTCCTGAGTTTGGTTCTGCCCCTGCTAGGCACAACAAGATTGGGCTTGGGTGGCTCAGCATTGCTGGTTAGCTGAGATGAGTCGGATCGGCATCTGCAACCGATTTGTCTTGCCCTGGGCCATGAGAAGCCAGGCCAGGAGAGAACCCAACATCTCCCACGCACTGCCGAACCATCCACCTTCATCTCGTCGGATCCCGGTTCGACCAAGTCACCAAGTCGATGATCTGTTTTGCCAAGTGACTCACATCTCCATCCCAGGAGCGGGCTGCAGGGGTTTCAGGGCCATCGGCGTCTGCCCCATGCATTCACCCACTCCAAGAATTGTTCATGTGGTGCTGGGATTATGCGAAGCAGATCATCGACTTGGTCGAACTGGCATCCGGCGAGATGAAGGTGATGAGATTGTGCAGTGGGTGATTCAGCGGTGCATAGGGGAGGTCCACATCATCCAGAAGTTGCAGTCAAAAGTCGCCATGGCAATGCATAGAGCGAAAGTGAAGGAACAAAGCTCAGAATGTTTCACAAAAGGCAAAGTAGTGCTCAGACCTTTGACCCAAAGTCGCAAAGCATTTTGGCTAGTGAAATGCATTGAAGAAACATTACCTGCTCGGCACAGGTTTCGAGCCAGCAATTACAAGAAATACATGCATGGCTTCCGTGGGTCTTCAATGTCAAACACGCATCCCTCGCATGACGCATCCCACACTACAAGACCCTCCTGACCCTCCTGACCCGTGGATCGGTCGCTCGCCTTGTTGAGGCGATCCCGGGCCATGCTCAACAGGTCCAAGGCCGCCGAGTTGGACGTGGTGCTCTCCTGCCGAGAGCACAAGCGGTCAGGAAGGCCGATGCCCAAATGACCCGGGTGGGGTGGGGATTTTGTGGGATTTGGGGGAGGATGCTGTGGACAGCTGCAGTGGGAATATTGTTGGTGTGTGTTCCATGTGGAGAGGCACAAAGATTGAGATAGATTGAGTATACTTGATGATCTCAAGTATAGCAGAGCAGCATGCAGCTTTCTGCAAAAAGAACAAAACCACAAAGTGCTGGTGACTTGAGGCCGTGCACTTGCTCAAAACATCTACAACCTTCATCAACCTTCAAGCCGTTCGACCGCGCCTGGAACTCGCTATGCTCTGCTTGTCGGTTCTTGGTGGCTGTGGCCACCGATTCATCCAAAGCCTGCTTGTCGGCAACGCAGGTGTCATTGGCCATTCGCCTCCCTCCAAAGATGGAAGTCTAGAGGAAAGTTGTAACATGTCATTCTCTAGTCCACCTCCCTGTTTCTTGAATCGACTGAAGCATGTGAGTCGAACCCTGTGCAAAACATCCATTTCACTTCACCCTATTCACATCTGTGTCGCGAAGAGTCGCGAAGCACAACCGCCAAAATGCGTGAGTTGCCTTCACTCCAGACTGCAGAGCGACCACATCCTGCGACTATGACCAGGGTGGAGCTCACTCCAACAGGCTCCAAGTGAGGTTGGGACCTCGCTGTGGATCGGAAAAAATAATAGACACGGAGACTTGGGGAAACCCTGGTTCCTTTTTGGTCACTGGGATATGTGCACATTATATTACTGTAATATATATATATATAGTAATATTGATTACATTTATGTATCAGTTGTAGATTATAGATTATATAAAATTATCTTACAATTGTTGTCATTATCCATGGCTGGTGCCTGGAACACCTCCCAAACTCTGGTCGTTTTAGATTTTTGACCGACCTTGAAACACCTAAATCCGAAACCTATGGGCTGGTGTCACAAAGGGCACTGCAGAGATTATATGTCAAGGGGTATTGAATACAAACACCAAAGTGGCGCCAAAAACACTTGTGTCATTTTGTTGGCATTGTGTTTTTGGTTGTCGTTTCAGGTGGTTCTCCCAACGAGCGTTGTGTTTCGAGTCGTTTGTGTTGTGTTTCTGTCGCTTGCGCGATGCTTTTATATAAATCTTGCATCATGCGTTTAGGATATGTTTAGGTGTTTGGGCGTGCCCAGCTCATTTCTGGTAAGGTTTCCACATAATGACAGCAGTCCTTGATCTATGTTGATCGGTTTATCCAGGGCCACTTAAAGAACAAAAAACCAACACCGTGGGGTGTTTCAAAACGGCACTCAAGCAATGGTGATCGTTTGGGGGGTCCAGGTACAGTATAACTAATGACATCCTAAACAGTCATTGTTGCGTAAGGGATTGGCAGGCAAATGCAGGCAGTGTCTTTTGACGGCCCAAGGGAAGGCCAGGGCCACTCTGGAAGCAGTTCAATATCAAATCCCATCATAAACGATCATCTGGTTTGTGTTTTCAACCCACTTGAAAAATGTTAGTCAGAGGGTCCAATCATCCCCAAGTAAGGGTTGGAAATAAACATATCCGAAACCATCACCTAGTCATCAACCCAAAAAGTATCAAAAAAGCTCCTAGTAGCGTTCTTGTTCCTAGTAGTAAGGCCAGGAGCCCCTTGCTCCTAGTAGCGTCCTCTACCCCCAGATTGGAACCGATCCTAAGCCTAAACCCCCAATGGACAGCCCAATGTGCCCTTTGTGGCGATGGGATCTCAGATCTATCCCACCAAATGCATCGGCCGTTCAAGCCGCTGCATCAGCCTTCTGGAGCTTACAACCCCCCCCTGCATGAACGGCTGACATGGTCAGCTGCTCCAACAACTCCAACGAAAAACCACTGGAAGAAAACATGAACCTCGATGTGTCTTTTACATCGGGGACCCCAACCAATCGGTTTGAGTCTATGTCACATCATGTCACAAACCACATGGTTGTTTCTTTTTGTGGGGGGAGTCTCAAAACGGGGAGGTTTCCCCTAGACCGAAAGAACAAAAACACCCAGTGGCTGAAAAACACGCTTGCTCATCTTTCTCTTTCTGCTGACATTCTTGGATGAACCTCCCGGAAACCCCAGAAACCTTCAAACCGTTTCAGCTCTGTAGCTTCGTACGGCGACAAATCAGTGCATCTCGGGACAATCCGGGATCCCTAAAATAGGGACAGCTCCTCATGCTAAACAACAAAGGGCATGGAGGTGGCGGCCACGCCTAACTTTAAAGGAGTTTCCAGCCAGGGATGGTCGGCTTGTAGCTCGCGAGCCCTGCAGGTCCTCAGCCAGCTTGCCGATGGCATCCTTCTTCTCAGCCACGCTGCCGGTGAGCGTCTTGATCTGTGCGCCGAGCTTGTGGCGCGCAGAAGAAGCCGCTGCGGGTTGTGACCCGTTGTGTGGGCCCGCTGACTGGAGTGGGCCCCCTTGATGGAGTCAGGGCACCAGCAACACATTCAGTACTTTAAGAGGCTGAAATGGGATGAAATGGCTGTGTCCTCAGAATTCAAGACCTTGCCAAAACCTCATAGCAGAAACAAAGCTAGACCCATGTCTCTGAAAACCGGGACACTCTCGTTTTGATGAGTGGGATGTTCATGTTTATCTTAATGTCTTGACTCAAAGCCCATCTAAAATGGAAAGGCCCTGAGCATCGACCGGGACTCCCGGAGCATCGACCTTGACACTCACAAAAACCCTGCGGCCCACAACAGCTCATCCTTCCACAACAGCTCGTGCACTCCTGGATCTCACAGATGTGGGGAAATCCGGCATGGATCCCAGTCAGTGACCCAGTCACACCTTGGAGTCCAAGGTCTTGGACTTCTCCTTCACGCTACGGAACTCCTTGTTGCAGTACTCCTCACTGGCGTCCGCGGGAGCCCAGCTCCCGAAGAACGACGACGTCCCGCCGGCCGCGGCTGCAGACGACACCGTTTCCACGCGACGCACGACGCACGACTCGATCCGGGCGTCGGTTGGGGCAATTTTTGGGGAGAGCTTCGGCGGCTTTGATCGGAGCAGCGGGGTAGAGTGTGATAATGATGGAATGTAAGGTGTGAGATGGTGTGGGTAGACAGCATAGCGTCAAGGTTGTGCTATGAAACGACAAGGATATATGAACTCAGGCAACCAGTCCTGCTGAAGCTGTAGCCATTACTGTGTTGTATGGCCTTTTTTATACAAGATTTTATGCAACCCAATTACAGTAGTGGCACAGGTGTGAGATGGTGCGAGTATGTCTCAAAGAAGTCCAGAAAACATGCTGAGGCATGCATGACCTCTGAAGATATCATGCCATCAGAGATCCTGAGTTATCAAGCTATCCCCAGGTCCGTGACGGTTGCCCAGCTGCTGCGCCGCTCTCCTTCTTGGACTTGTCGTCCTCGCCTTCTTTCTTCAACCTTGGATGATGACTCCGCGGTATACCCTCTAAAGGCAAAAACATGCAAAAAAGACGTGGCAACATCTGGAGGCACAACAAGAGGGCCAAAAAAACACACGCGAGTGACGAAACGGCCGAGGACACTGCCCCCGCCATACCGGGGGGTCCTCGGTGTTTCGGGTGTTGTCACATTGGAATTTGAATAGCAAAGACATACTCATCCAGGCACTTTTGTCGTAGTGCCATAGGCCATAGGCATCAAGACCTTCCCCCAGGCCCCGCACGGTATTCGTGCTAAGCATGTGATCCATTCCCAAGCCTGTGCTGATGGCGCTACAAGGGTCAGCCACACCATCTAGAAACATGCAGTGGCCAAATAGTGGATAGAAATGAAACGGTTACCAACATGTCTTTGAATACTCAATTGAAAAGTCTATGAGCATCAACCCTCGACCGATGGAATCACCCGTCGTCCGATTCGGATCCAAGCAAGCGGCAAGGTCACCAGTCCATCGATCTTCTCCAAGATCTTGCTAAAGTCGGCCTCGGTCACCAGTCCAACTAATCCAGCAGTCGAAGACGTGTGGCACATCAGTCAGACGTCGAGGGTTCCGGAAGAGGACGATCCTCGAAACCCGAAGAAGGCGTCCAGGGAGACTGTGGAACCATACGATCCTCTCATGGCTTCGGGGAGTGGAACTGGCCAAGCGAAGACAAAGAACAAGAAGATCTGCAACTTGCATCGGCGATCCCGGGGTTGCTTTGAATCTGAAATCTATCATATTCATTCATGTTATGATGTTATGTAATAATGAGATTATCATAATGCACATGAATGCACTTTGCATCCAACAAGGTGGCCCCAAACCCGTGGCGGGAGAAGATGTGGATGGAAACACCTCATGCTGCACACACGAACTTTGAGCCTTCTTCCAACTCATCCAGGGAAATCTCTTCTAATCTAATGTGAACATGGTTAGTTTCTCTCCCCTACTCAGCTTCTTCATGCCACAGCTTTGGAGGTGTTGAGGCTTTCAAGATATCATAAGAAATCACTGAGATCACTTCATTGTTCCTCGGCCCAAGAGCTTGTTGTTCCAACTGTCATGTTGGCCACATCTATCATAGTTCTCATTCTTGGATCTCCCTGGAATCAACCCAAATCATCCACAAGTCTGGACTTACTCACCAGTGATGCTTCTTTGAAGATATGTGTCTCGCCTTAACATCCTCCAATTGCCCTCCGCCCCAGGCCGCAACACCGGTTCAATTGACAGCTGCACTTGTGAAAAACAGTTCTTCCCTCTGGGAAATCAAAGCACTCTTGTCATCTTCTGCCCAGGTGACCTTCTTTCCGGAGAGCGCCAAAGCCAAGAAGTTCAGCTCGGGGTGACTCTGGTCCTCGCCACAGGCGGAATTCATGAGGTATATAAATGGTAGCCAAAACCGTGACTGCGTAGCCCAGACAGGTATCCTTCAGATGATGATGACAACGGGGGTCTTGGTCTTTGGCCATGGTGAATAGGCACAACAATTAAACCAATAATATCTGAGATGATCTGAGATCTACGAATTGCCTCGCATCAGAAATGACATCCAATATCATCCGATCAACACTTTCCGGTGTCTCGACGTGAGTGAACCCCAAACGATGATTTCAGGGGCGCAGTTCACATCAAAACCACTCAGTTCACATCAAAACCACCCCACTCACCCAGTCGACCCCGCAAAAGCCGGTTCACGACGCCTTGGCCTTGGCCGCCTTCAACAGAGCCACGACTTCGCGCACCTGGACGTGTTCGGCGAAGTGGAAGAGTGGGAACGACACAACTCGACTGGAAGATGGTCCAAGTGACGTCCCAGCTAGACGTCATGAAATCGACAAACCCACTTGAGAGAGGAGGGGGTGAACGAAAGGTAGCAGGCAATCACAAGCAACCCTGGTAAAAGTCCATGACGGCGTGAACCGGCGCAGGGGGGATTTGAGGGGGGGGGGG